TGTCGGCCCATCCTGTGACAGCGGCTTATACCATCAGCTGTAAATGAGTCAAGACCTAACTTACTTGCTGCTACCTCCGCGACGACCCGGGATATATTCTCATCCTTCTCCTCTGTGACACCATGTACCAGGAGTATCTTGCGACGGCTTCGGGTTTCCATGTTGTCCACCTCATTCGCAAGCACCTTCATCTGGCTTTGGAAGGACTTCAAGGTTTCTAAGATGAGAGTCTTGAATATAGTAAACTCCTCTGCGAGACCAGCCAAGCTAGCAGCATTTGAGGCCTTCTTCAGGAGCTCTGCTTCGAAGTTAGCCATCCTCTTCTCAAAACAATCCTGTAGTTCTTGTATAGTGCTCATAGTGATGCTGTGTGTAGTTTTTATTTTTGAAAATTGAAAACTTTAGTTTTTTCTGTGGATATAACACTGACTAGCAGGTATTTATTATTGAGGTTTTATTGTATTCATTAAATCTATATAAAATATGTCTATTCTATTTTTATTTCAAATTATTTATAAGAGCTTTTAAAGTTATATGTTGAGCTTTCAACTACCCACTTAGAAAAAAAAAAAAAAAAAAAGAAAAAAAAATTCACTCTTGGTGGGAATCTCTCGCTACCGCCCGTCATACGCTCCATGGCCGGTAGTGACAGATGTTTTACCGCGGTCGCATCCTTCTGCGAAAACGTCATCGCGCAGAAGGAGGCGGCGGAGAGGGCCCGGGAGGATGACCTCCACTCGGACCCAATTCGCCGCCGGCAAACCGGGCGGCGAAGGCGCGCTTACCAGCGCCTCATGCCGCCCTGAGTGTGGCTGCGTGTGGACGGGACTATGACATCCGCGTGTGCCGGACGTCACCTAAGTAGAGAATGTACCCGAAGGTGGTGCCCGCACGATTGCGGGCAGGCGCTAGGAGGGGTCCGGATGTCTTAATAACAGCAGTTCCCGGATCCCTCCTATTACAGGCTCAGAGTGGCACACCGTGTACATTTTGTGTATTATTGATCTTTTCCCGGTACTTTCTTGACAGAGTAGCACATTTTCTATGGTTCAAAGGTCAATATTTTAGAAATCTCTAAATAGGCTTACGAGTCTTTTATACGAGGGCGGGTCAATGAGTCCGTGACTTTTGGAATAAAACACAGATTTTTTGATAAATAAATCATTTTATTTTTCTTGAGCTCTATACACTTTGTCCAACGCTTCTCCAATTTTTTTATCCCTTCCAAAAAATATGATTTGTCGAGGTCCTCAAAATAGGCCTTTCTTTGCGAGATGACTTCATCATTGGAGTCAAATCTTTTTCCACCAAGCCATTTCTTCAGGTTTGGGAACAAGAAGTAGTCACTCGGAGCCAAATCTGGAGAATAGGGCGGATGAGGGAGCAATTCATAGCCCAATTCATGGATTTTTGCTATGGCAACTGCACATGTGTGCACCCTTGCATTGTCTTGGTGGAAAAGAACTTTTTTCTTGGCCAAATGAGGTCGGTTTTTTTTCAAATCGTCCTTGAATCGGTCCAATAAGTTGGCATAATATTCCCCATTGATTGTTCTTCCCTTTTGAAGGTAGTCAATGTGGATTATCCCGCGTGCATCCCAAAAGACAGTCGCCATAGCTTTATTGGCTGACATACCCACCTTGGCCTTCTTTGGCGCCGATTCACCCTTAGAAACCCATTGTTTTGACTGTTGTTTGATCTCTGGTGTGTTGTGATGGATCCATGTTTCGTCCACGGTTAAAAAACGGAGCAAAAACTCCTACATATTGCGATTAAACAACGCCACACCTTCCTGTGAAGTTGTTACACGATTGCGTTTGTGGTCGACTGTGAGCAATCGCGGCACCCATCTTGCGGAAAACTTTCTCATGCCCAAGTGATCATTCAAAATTGAAACCACTGAGCCATGCGAGATCCCTGCGGCTTCCACAATCTCTTGCACTTTCAATCTTCGGTCGGCCAACACCATATCGTGAATTTTTTCGATTGTTTCGGGTGAAGAGACCTCAACTGGGCGTCCAGGACGTTCGGCATCTTCAGTGCTTGTACGGCCACAACGAAATTCAGTAAACCACTTTTTTACCATTGAAATCGATGGTGCAGAGTCCCCATAGTATTTATCAAGCTTAGCCTTGGTCTCGGTAATGGGTTTTTTTCGCAAAAAATTATGCTTAATAAGCACACGAAATTCACTTTTTTCCATTTTTCCTCAAATTACTGGGTAGTCTGATAAAGATAGCTGTCAAACACAAACTAACTGACGCCACAAGTTCAAATTTTGACAGGAGTCAACTGACAGATGCCTGTTGACAGGAGTAATGTTGCTTTTTTAGTAAAGAGGTCAGAAATTCAAAAAGTCACTGACTTATTGACCCGCCCTCGTATAAGTCATATTTCGACTTTATGTGAAACCATAGAGAACGATTTTTCTACTATTGTCATTACTGAGGAGTTCTGAGTGCTTAGGTATTTTTTTAAAATTTTGTATTTCTTGTCTTAAGCTTTCGTTATTTGTTTCTAAGTTTTTTATCTTCTTAGTAATTTGTTCTAAATCGGTTTTTCTTTCTTCATTTTGCTTCGCTAATTCCTTTACTACCTGTTTAATATCTTCCACTACTCTTGTGATCGCTTTGGCAATTTCTGATTGTATTGTACGCTGTATTTATGAGATAACGGATATGTTGTTTTCCTTCAATTTCAATGTGATATTTTCGCTTAAATTTGGCAGGTTTAATTCTTTATGTAGTTTTTGTTTAAAAGTCCTTCACCGTTTTCTGTATATATCGTATTGCCTAAGAAGTTCAGATCATCAGAGTCTACCGTGATATTGTTAGTGTTGGTTTGTGTTCACCTAATGTTTATGTTATAGGAATCCACCGATGTCGTGGCTATATCTTTGTTACTCTGCCGCACAGGTGTTTCCGTATTGTTAGTTTTAGGTAGCTTACAGAAACAAGCTTGTCACTTCCATTTCTTGAGCTCAAGAGGCTTCATATTGTGAAAACTTCCCCTTAGACATGTTAGCACTTTCCAGGTTATGTATACATTTACATTGTGTACAAGTAAGATTGTCTGTATTTAGCAGTTTTTGTTTACATCCTGCACACTCAATACTTTGATGCCATCTTTTTGTTTAACTGCTAACATTTTATAATCAGCGTATTCTAGTACTTAAATGCGAAATCAAATATCAATTATGTTAGTTACCGGTCAGTTATTTGTATAATTATCTAAAAGGTGGCGCTAGTCATCAACGATTTTTAGTTTCTTCCTATTAAATTGTGTATCTTATGTTTTATGAAAACTCCACTGACCTTTATATTTTGTGGTGTTTCACTATACCAGCACTATAATTTATCTTTCTTTCTTTCTTAAAAAAGACAACTTCCGCACTAGGAATATATCCTGTGTCGCGGGGGACTTTACAAACATATATGAAATGGACATAAAGAACACCCAGACTCAGAACAACAATTTGTGGATCGCACAAAGTATCGTCTCATGTGAGGATCGAACCCACAAGACTCAGCGTAGTAGTAAGCGGCGTTGCGACCGCTTAAACCACAACGCCATTCGTGTAGTCAAATTTTTTAAATTCAAATACAAATAACTTTAATATTTTCTCTCACACAGTTTACAATCATATATGTCGCATCGAGGGCGGCCGAGGTGCGACACATCGGGTCTTCATCATGATCTGACATAGTTTCCAATGGATGTGCGCACTGACTTGAGTACTCGAGCGAAAGATAATTTAAATCAGAATAACTTTATTCACAATATTGAAACGAAAACGTGCGTCGGTATCGAGTGTCCCCCAAAGAGTGCCGTGCCCGTTGAACGCATCGCGTTTTTATATGACAGCGAGCTGTCAACCGCTGTGTTGCCAATTAACTCATGCGAATACGCCCAAATCGATTATACTTGACGTTCTGTTCCACGATCTCCGACACGGCCATTCTGACTAGCACCCGTCCTCGGGTGTAGTCCCCGTGGACAAAATATGCACAGAGAGTAAACTAGCTCGGCTATCCTGCCAATATGAACAAAGGTAGCAGATTCTCAGTGGTCCTTTATTTCTCCTAAATCTGTTTTCATGACTTAAATACTCTCTCTCGCTCTCTACCCAATATCATTCATTGGAAAAGATCCGACCAACAAGTTAAAAAGGCCAAACAAGGTAATTTTAACAGTTCTGTTATTCTTTACCATAATTCATATGCAATGTATACTCAACTCATAAAACTTTCACTATCATCTGTGCACCAACACAGACCCGAATCGCACCAACGATTCGTTACAAATCTGCCGCCACATATGCACCAACACGGACAAGAATCGCACCAACGACTCCTTGTAGACCCATCGCCACATGTTACTCATGAGGTGCGGTCCAAAGTTTCGAGTATGAGTGTACAAGCCATTCTTAATTAGCTGTGGTGTCGCTACCACTATCATCAATTATATCTTAATTAGCTGTGGTGTCGCTACCACTATCGTCAATTATGATAAAAACAAATATATCGCCGCAAATTTCACTTAAAACGAAATATTAAATCCCAAATCATCTGTGAAAGTGTTATCCTAACATAAAATAACGTAAAAAGAAAAATCAAATCAACACATTTACAGTGACTAAAGAAGTGATAAATATGCATTACTACAGTCTAAAGTGTAAACAATAACAATAACATAGTGCTATACAGTAATTAAATCATATAAATGACTTAAATGTAATTATCTAAGTGTTGCAACTATTGAATTAATATATACAATTGAACGTTAAGAAAAATTCTCTTCAAATATTAGAGAATCTACCCTCTACAAGCTGCGGTGTAAACAGCGAGGTTGAAGGTACGAAACGTATGATAAGAAATAATTTTTGAGAAGTTATATTGTATGTAACGGGTAACGACACACAGTTAATATCGAGTCTAAAATTCTTTGAAAATATTTGTTACACTAAATTTACAAAGCTACTTTGCCCGCCATCTGCAACAATGTCGATGGTTGAAACAGAAAATGTTACGATAAGACGTGCGCGAGCGCACTCCGATACAAACCAAGATGATAGTTTCAACAATCACACACTAGATGGCACCATGCATAGCGTTCCTGGTATATCGGAGGATGAAGATGTTGATATAATTAACGAACTAAGAAAACAAATTGACGGCCTTACTACTAAACTGCTGAGCGCCAATAACGAAATAGACTCTTTAATACTAGAAAATGAAGCCCTAAAAAAGATGAACGATAATCTGACTCGCAAAAATTCTATTTATAAAAAAATTGTGTCCAGTCCAATTCAATCCCCATTCAAAACTCCAAAAAAATGTTCGAAGCAAACAAAAGAGACTCGCCGTAACAAGCAAACCCAAACAGATTTTGTTATGTTGAATAAAAGTAATATTATTGAAAAAGGAGATCAACAAAACATTACAGTACAACATTCCAGTGCACAGATGGAGCTACCTGTCGGGACTGAAGAGGCAAGAATTACTAAAAGGCTGTCTTATTCATAGACTGTAGTCAAAAATAATCTCTGCATTATTAGTGCAAATAAAAGCAATAATATACTAGCCTTAACAGAAGAATACTTCCTAGGAAACTATCACATATGTCACTACTTAACACCAAAAGTTGGAATAAAGGCTCTCTTACAAGATATACAAACGAAACTGACAAACTTCACATTAAATGATTTTTGCATAATTATGGTTGGAGAAGAAGACTTCAGAAAAACACATAACTATTATGATATTGTAACCGACATTAGACATGTATTACAGGACATTAAAAATACAAACATTATAATTACATTACCAACATTCAAATCTAATTACTATTATAACTACAATAACCTGTTTAACTCAAGACTGGAAGTGTTCAATAATATGTTATATATGGACATTATCACCCATGAGCATGCTTATCTGTTAGACTCTAATTTGAATTTAAGCTACCACCATACTTTATATACACGCTCTGGATCCTTAAAGAATCGTGGTATGAGGGTTGTATTTGGTGACCTGCATGACTTGATGTTGGCAATTGAACAAGAAAATGCAAACAATGTAAAAGAGAAGCTCTCAGGTGAGGTATTCCCGGAATCTAAATCGCTTTTTCGCCCCTAAATATCTAAATATTCTTCACCAAAATATAGCTGGGCTGCGGACAAAATCGCATATACTAACAGTCTGTTTACAGGAACTACTAGAAAAACAAACAGATGTTGATGTTATTTGTCTCACCGAGCATTTTATGATGTCTGGGTATGAGGAATCCTGTCTGATTCCTAACTACAACTTGGTATCATGTTACTCTAGAACTAATGCAAGGAGAGGTGGGTCTTGTATTTTTGTTAAGAAAGGGCAAAATTGCAAAGAAATATCAACATTGACAAGCTGTTCAGTTTCTTCAGCTTTTGAGTGTAGTGCCATTGAGCTGACAGACTACAAAATTGTTATTGTCTGTGTCTATAGAGTACCCTTAGCTAGTAACTTAGATATTTTTTTTGATAAATTGAACAGGGTCCTAATTCTTCTTTGTAAGCACTATCTTAAGCACAATATTGTCATAGCTGGAGATTTTAATATCAATATTTTGAATAAGAATAAGTTAGCAACCGAATTCGAATGTTCATTACTAAACTATAACTTGAAATTGCAATTAAAAGAACCTACCAGGCTTGTAAGCAAAACATGTATTGACAATTTCGCTCATAACTTTGGAAAAAAGTGTAAATCAGAGGTAATTGAGCTTGCATTATCTGACCACACCGCACAATTGTTAAGATGTCAAGTAAGAAATATATGTGTAATTAAGTACTGGAAAATCAGGCGACGGGATTTTAGTATGGAGAATCAGGCAAAATTCAGGTACTGTATAGGTCAAATGACTTTTTCAGATGTGTACAGCGCTTGTGATCCAAACATAGCATATAGTATTTTCATCGATACATTTAAGTTATTTTATGACCTTTGTTTTCCCCATAAAACTATAACTATGCACATCCACAAAAAACCCAAGTGGGTATCACGGGGTATTAAGACTTGTAGTGCTAAAAAACGTGAACTACTGTGGAAATACAGAAAATCCCCAAGTATAGATAACAAATCGGAGCTGACGCAGTATACCAAAAGACTAAGAAAGATAGTGTATTTGACCCAACGAGCGCAAAACAATTACAATATTATAAATTCAAGTAATAAAACAAAAGCTGTATGGCAAACCATAAATGCTGCAAATCAAAATAGACCATTGGAATCTATCCAATGTATTAAATTAAATAATGAAATCTTGACAAATCCATATGACATATCAAATGCATTTAATAATTTTTTTGTTGATAAGATAAAGCCTTTTAATGCTGTACATAAAAATCAGCATAAGCAATACCTCACATCTAGACTTAACTCAATATTTATGAAACCGTGTCTGCCAGACGATATAAAACAAATCATAAAAGGTGTAAAAAACACCAATAGTGTGGGTTATGACGGCATCTGCACTAAAGCCATTAAGCTAGTAACAGAGTGCATTGCCCAACCTCTTGGTTATATTCTAAACTTCTCTATAGAAACGGGTGTATACCCTGAAAAATTAAAAGTTGCAATTATTAAACCGATTCACAAAAAAGAGAGTAAAGACAACATGAATAATTATAGACCTATTGCCCTAATATCAATCTTCTCAAAAATATTTGAAAAATATATTTATAATGAATTGGTTAAATATTTCGAAAGCCATAACATTTTAGCTAAGGAGCAAAAGGGTTTTCGACAGAACAAAAGTATCAATCTTGCTATATGTGAACTTCTAGAAATTGTAACGTCCAACGTTGATAAGCGAATACCGATCTGCGCCATCTTTATGGATATGACGCAAGCTTTTGATTACGTGGTACATGACATCTTATTAAATAAGCTTGAGACATATGGCATAAGAGGCAACATTTTAAAATTAATTGCATGTTACCTCAGGAACCGCTCTCAATACACAGTAATTAACAGAGTTAATATTAGAACTAAGATGGAGGATACATACTTATCAAACGGACGTAAAATACAATATGGCGTCCCGCAAGGAAGTGTATTGGGTCCATTACTTTTTATAATATACATTAATGACCTTCCAAATGCGAATTCAAACCCAATGACACTCTTTGCTGACGACAGCACCGTCGCAAATAGGTGCAATGACAGAACATCGTATGAGCATGATATAAGCAGTACCCTTAATGAAATCATCAAATGGCTGGACGTTAATAATCTGAAAGTAAACATAGGAAAGACTAAAATTATCCATTTTAATCAGCGTGTGAATGCAATTATGCCTCAGATTAATTATAGGGGTGAACCTATTTCTGAAGTGCAAACCACAAAATTTCTTGGCCTGACTTTGGATAATAAATTGAAATGGAAACCACAGATTGAAGAACTGTGCAAAAAAATTAATAAATCAGTGTACGCGCTACATGAATTAAAACAAATTTCAAGTGTTAGTACCTTGTTAACTGCATATCATGGTCTAGTTGCTTCAGTCCTGAGGTATGGTGTGGTTTTTTGGGGAAATTCGACAGACATTGATTTAATTTTTAAGGCACAAAAACGGTGCATCAGGCCTATGTTTGGGCTTCAAATAATCGAAACCTGTAAACCATTCTTCAAAGAGTACAAAATTCTAACTCTCCCAAGCCTGTATATTTATGAGGTCTCAATATTTGTTAAGGTAAATCAAAAGTTATTTACATTAGCCTCAGAAGTCTATAATAGGCGACAACGTGACCAATTTCGCCTCTGTATGCGCCGAACCTATACCACTTTAATGCACAAAAGTGTGTTTCACATGGCTCCGGTAATTTTCAATAAATTACCTAAAGAAATAAGGGCAATGAATACTACTTTATTTAAGAAACATTTAAAGACCCTTTTAGTTAATAAGTGTTATTATAAGTTGAATGACTATCTGAACGATGATCTTTCCAATCCTGAGACCTTTTGTGTGTCTTTTGAATGTAATTAATTTGTTAATACATAATAATTCAGTGAGTGACATAGAACTAATCTAATTATTATTTAATAAATAACTAATATTTATCATTGTAATTTTAATAAGGACATTACATTCATTTTTAATACTTAAATGCTGTAATCTAATTTGATTTAAATACTTCGATGTCGATTTTAATTTTAGTAAGTAATAATTGTATATATTTTGCATGCCTTAAGGTACAATCACTTGAAACATAACTATGTATTTATAAAACCATTGTAACAGTGTTTTCTGCAAAAATAAATTTGATTTGATTTGATTTGATTTGATTTGACATCTAATTCTCGCGGAACTTGGTGATCGGGGACCTTTCTCACACGATCATGGGGGTATTTGTACGTTCGCTTAGAATCAAGCGCCTTTAATAGGTATCTATCCCCGTTTAACACATCGATAATCTTAAATGGACCTTTGAATTTAGGATCTAATTTTGTTTGATTCCTTTCCTCATTTGCAATCAAAACAATCATTAATAGCTAGCATAGAAACCTGAGCCTTACTTCGATCAAATAGATTTTTGTTATAATTTGCATTTTTCTCGATATTCTGTGTCGCTTGCTCTCTAATCTCATCTAAATTAACGTCACTCACATCATCATCAACGGTCACTAAACCAAGTGGCCGTGCTACCCTTCCTATCATCAACTCGAGTGGGCTAGATTTAGTCACCCTATTTATAGTAGAGTTAATAGCTAACTGAACCTCTCCTAAAGCGTCCTGCCAAGAGCGGTCACGACTAGCCTCTACAGCTGTCAACATACTCTTGAGGGTACTCATTGCCCTTTCGACCTCGTTCGCACGACAACATAGAGTTGCACTTGATAGCGACTCCGGTAGCTATCAAGTGCAACTCTATGTTGTTAGAAGTACAGAAATGAGAAAATTCTTTACTAGCAAAACAACGACCCTGATCAGCTATTGCGCGTTTCGGCGCACCAAACAACGCTATACAGAACTTAATAGCACAAATGCTACTGTTAGTGTCTATATAAAGCGAATGACGGAGCAAAACAAACTTGGTAAATGCATCAATGATGAGTGATTGCGAGTGTCCTCAGGAAAAACTTCATTACGAAGATCAGACACAATCTTACTAATTTCTTCATCCTTTTCCTGTTCAGCTTGCAACCAGTTACTAGTAAGCTCAGCTAAATCCACACGCCTTTGTTCTACCCGTGTTAAGGTCCCTTTAGGTGTCGGGAGAAGATTTCTAAAAAGAAAGTCCACATGGCTCATCCTACTGCCTTCACGATAAACAATATCAAATTAAAATGATTGCATGTAGGCCCACCAACGATGAACTCGCGGAGATAAGTCAGTTTTATTTTTAGAGGCTTTAACAGAACTACAGTCCGTCACAACGGTAAACTTACGACCTAGCAAATAGTGTCGAAAATGCTTTATAGCATTAAAGACTGCTAACGTTTCTAACTCGAATGAATGGTACTTCGATTCAGCTGGAGACGTACGACGACTATAATAAGCAACTACATGTTATTTCCCATTAATCTTTTGAATAAAAATGGCACCATATCCTTCGGCACTAGCATCGGTACGCAACTCGATTGAGTGCGTAGGGTCGAATATCGTTAAAACTGGCTCACTGGTCAAGTAAGAAATTATTTTCTGACGGATGGCCTCATGACTGGGTTCCCATTCAATGGACCTATTCTTGTCACTAGTTAAACGAAACAGAGGGGCCATTACTTTTGAGAACTGCGGCACAAATTGTCTGAAATAGGTGGCCAACCCTATGAACTGTCTCAGCTAAGTGATAGTTTTAGGTGGGGGAAGTCTAGACAAAGCGGCAATTTTATTTGGATTAGGTCTGATTTGGCCATCCTCAACAACAAAGCCTAAATATTCAACCCGTCGTTTAAGAAAAGAACACTTAACAAAGTTCAGGGAAAAACCAGCTTTTGTCAATTTATCGAGTACAGTGCGAAGACGACATAAACTCTCCTCCACACTTGATCCTATTATTAAAATATCGTCGACATATGTCACAGCATAGCCTAAAGCTTTCATTACTGCACGCTGATAAACTGAGCTTGCATTTTTTTAAACCAAATGGCATGGTCAAATATTCCCACTGTCCATCAGGTGTAACGAACGCAGTGCGCTCTATGGACTCAGGATGCACTGGGATTTGATGGTAGCTTGATAGCATAGCATATCATATCACCTAACCTTGATACAAGATCCTCTATCAACGGCAGGGGAAACCTATCCGACACAGTGTTGTCATTCAGCTCCCTGTAGTCGACACACATGCGATCTGAACCATCCTTCTTAACAAGCAACACTGGACTAGAAAAAGGTGAATAACTTGGTCTAATAATACCTGCTTCCTCTAATTCACGAACCTTAGCAGTAACAACTTCGCGTTCACTAGCACTAAGCCTATAAGGACGATGACTAACTGTACGACTAGGATCTACATGCCTAATTTGCAACTGTCCTGTCGTTACGAACACCACCAGAAAGCGAAGAAGAATATTCTGACAAAAGATTAATTAATTGAGAACGAAATTCTAGCGGAATGTCTGTATCAACTTTGTCGAAAACAATTTGACAATTGGCATCGTTTCCGAGCTTATTTGTAACATCACATAGCCTAAAAACCTTATTACGACACAAAACAATACTCTCAGACGTCATACTAACGTTAAATCCCTGATCTAAGATCTCACGACCAATTAAAATAACATTTTTAAGGCAACTATTAGGAACCACATGAAATAATATCTCTAATCGTAAATCATTAATCATAACCTCAGATAAAATTTGTAGGGTACTTTTCACACTACCATGACCGATACCTGTCAAACTGACAATGTTATTTACCCGCTTTCCACTAAGCTTTGACGCAACACAATCTTTGATGAGAGAGCATTCGGCACCAGAATCATAATAAAATGGATATGACACACCTGTGTTCATCAGCGTGCCGCTGGGATTGCTAACATAGCAAACTTCCACACGCCTCTCGTTACTCGCTGCTGCTGCAGGCACAGCTCCGGAACTGCTAGCACCTCCTGCCGCGCCAGCTCCTCCACTGTTGCCACGTGGACATTTCGTAGCAAAATGTCCGGCGTTGCCGCATCTGAAACAGATGATGTCCGAACGCAGTCTCGGTCCCGAAGAGCTTGATGCTGAAGTGGCAGCACTTGTTGCCTTGCCTTTCACCTCACTTCTGGAACGGCAATTGCACGCTCGGTGACCTATTTTACCGCAGTTGTGACATTTCAACGTTGCCGACTGAAACTTTGATCGCTTGAAATCTGAAGCGGCCTCGGTAGAGTTACCCATCGAAGTTTTCCTTTTCAAAAACGAAAACGCTTGAAGTTCACACTGCAGCTTGTTCCTATTGCTCACTTCGGTAGTAAACGCCAACCTCTGTATACGCCCATCAAATTGCGCCATATGAGCAAGCACCGTGGTTATGGCTATCTGCTCAGCGCTCATGTTTTGCCAGCGTGATGTTAAGGTAGACAACAACGGGGCGGCGTATGCAGCGTAGCATTCACCTTCCTTAGGCTTGCTACTCATCATTTTGACAAGAGTAGCGGCTGCTGTGTCCACGCAATCGTAACGGGACAAAAACAGGCTTTTGAAGTCACCCCGCTTCATACCCGCAAACGATACCTGCGCCAGCCAACGTGAAGCACTTCCTTTCAAAGCCTTGCTTAAGGTGATGATCAGGGTGCTTCCTTGAAGCGGTACTTCTGATAGGCACAGATCTGCTGTGGTACACCAGGCACGTGCGTCTACATCCGGCTTGTCCGGGTCAAATTCAGGCAAAGAAATATGCTTGGTACCTGCCGGGCCCCTGATGGCTTCTATGAGGGACATCATGTTCTGATTTTGAGCAGCCAGCAGCGTGCGAAGCAAGTTCTCATCGCACCGTGACGTCATGGCTCCATTCTGCGATATTTCTTGAGTTTCTTCAGCTCGAGTGTGTCCCACTTCTGATGTCGCATCGAGGGCGGCCGAGGTGCGATACATCGGGTTTTCATCATGATCTGCCATAGTTTCCAATGGATGTGCGCACTGACTTGGGTACTCGAGCGAAAGATAATTTAAATCAGAATAACTTTATTCACAATATTGAAACGAAAACGTGCGTCGGTATCAAGTGTCCCCCAAAGAGTGCCGTGCCCGTTGAACGCATCGCGTTTTTATATGACAGCGAGCTGTCAACCGCTGTGTTGCCAATTAACTCATCAGAATACCAAATCGATTATACTTGACGTTCCGTTCCACGTTCTCCGACATGTATATATTTATTTCATATTTACATTATACAATACTACAATTTATAATTCAACATACATTATAAACAAACAAATATTACATTACTATAACTAATATTATTCATCCACAAACATTTTTTTACACATCCAACGATATTACAAAATGTAGGTAGACGTGCAGAATATATTTTACATTGTACCTATCACCAGTCACAGCTTGCTACAGCCGCGATTTGTATTCGGTGCCCTGCGCTAAATATATTTGGATAACTAATATAATATCTTCCTATATATTTATTTATACAGTGTTAATCGTATGTGTATTCTTTCTGTTGTGTTCTATGTACTCGTTACCGTTCTAACTATTCTATTTTGTACCGGTGGAAAAGATTGTTTGCTTTATTGCGACTTATCAACCGTAAGTAACATTACACCCTAAAGACTAAAAGTGTTTGGTCAAAAATTTGTTCACAATGATGGCCTTGTGCGAAGGCGCATTATCGTGGTGCAAAATCTAAGAATTTTCTTTCCACAAATCTGGCCTTTTTCGTCGAATTTGCTCTATTAAATGCCGCATAACGCTTAAATAATATTCTTTATTTACTGTTTGACCTTCCGGCGAGAATCCCGAGTGCACAACACCGCGATAGTCAAAGAAAATAGTCAACATGACTTTGACTTTTGATCGACTTTGGCGTGGTTTTTTCGGTTTCGGTTCAGTTGGAAGGCGCTACTCCGAAGCTTGTTGACTAGTTTGCATGTCAAACTCGTAAACCCACGTCTCGTCACCAGTAACAATGCGTTTCATGAATGTTGGGTCGGAATTGACGACCGGATGGCGTAGTGGTTTGTGTAAAGGACTGCTATTCCAAAGGTCGCGGGTTCGATTCCCGCTTAAGTCAAACATTTGTGTGCATGAACATTTAATGTTTGATTTGGTCTGGGTGTTTCTATGTATAATAAGTATGTATTTACAAAAAAAAAAAGTATATATATGTATTTATATCAGTTGTCTAGTACCCATAGTACAAGCTCTGCTTAGTTTGGGACTAGATGGCGTTGTGTGAATGTGGTAGAATATTATTATTATTATTATTATTATAATTGACTCGTTCTGGCATGTCCTCAGCGACTCTCCTGATTGAGTTTTTAAAGAAAATTCAGGTCTTTTGGGACTAGCCGAGCCGGTAGCCGGTAACATATTTCATACCCAAATGATTTTTTAAAATGGTACGGATCGACTCGTGAGATACAGAAAGTTCAGCGGCTATCTCTCTCAAAGTTGAATGAGGATTTTCAGTCACTATTTCCTTTACTTTTGCAATGTTAACTTCAGTTGCAGACGTTGATGGCCTACTAGAGCGAGACAAATCTTCCATCACATCTCGACCGCTTTTGAACGCTTTGTACCACCACTCATAAGCACGTGTTTTGGATAAAGTTGATTCACCGTAAGCCTTTTGTAACATTTTCAGTGACTCCGAACACGAAATTCCATTGGCGATGCAAAATTTAAGGCTAAAACTCTTTGTTCGATGTTTTTGTCCATTATGAAATTCGCAATACACACTAGATGTAATATAACTAAAAACAGCACTGCATTTAATTTAAATAACAGATGCAACTCAAACTCCGCGCCAAAATGGAAAACAGTTGTGCCAATCTAACAACAACAAAAAAAAAAAAAAAAATTTGAATTTGGAACCATAAACAAATCATCCATTCCCGACACTTTTTTGACTGAATGTACATTCATATATAGGAGTACATTAAATAAAATTCTTAGGCCTATTATAGAGTTTCACGACATTCACTATATAAAACTAGAAAATAAGGAATCTTATAACATTACACTAAAAATAATAAAAAGAAAACATACAATAAATAATCATAAAACATTAAATTAAATTATATTAAATTAAACCAACTTAAACCCAATCAAATAAAATTCAACTTAAATTCAACCAAAATAAAAAAACAATCAGAATTAAATCAAACCTATTTGATTTAATCAAAATAAATCAAACCAGACCAAATTATAGATCAGACCAAAATTACATCTAACTTACTAAAATTAATTAAATTGAGAAATGAACCTTATCTACTCATTTTATCTACTTATTTTATTCATGTATCTATCTATTTACTAGTGAGTTTGATGATATGACTCCTTGCTTAAATGAAGTATATCTATTCCCTCAAAGTTTCCCGTAAAGACGCGAAGTAGTCGTCTCATTACAGCGTTACTACCATAATCAGCGCGGAGATTAGGTGTATTAAATAGGTGAGTGTGTCTAGTACGACACTTTAGTGTACAGAACTGTATACATGATAGAAGAGTACTACAATCAATATCGATAATCGAATCGAATCGATATCAAAAAGTAGAAACATATCCAGCATCTTACGTCACTCATCAAGAGGAAGAAGGTGATAGTGTCTACAGTCTACGGAATAAGAGGCATGACGTTTCCCAGACTTAAAATTTAGGAATTTCACAAACCTCTGCTGCAAACTTTCCAGTTTCGAAATATAAACATTATATTGAGGTGACCAAATTTGGCTGGAGTACTCTAAAATGATATATAAGCATAATATACAATCTTTAAACTGTGGCAATTTCCAAAAGGTTCGGAAGTACGCATCACAAAACCAAGATTACGAGAGGCTTTACTGATTATATGATCAATGTGTTCAGAGAACAGTAATTTTGAATCTAACTTAACACCGAGATCTCTGACCACATCAACTCTTTCAATAACATTGCTGTCAAACTTGTATATATATTTGATTGGGGTTTTATAACGGCTAAAGCTAATACATTGACACTTAAAAACATTGACTGAGGTGTTAGTCTGTATATAGTAACAATATAAAGCATTAAGGTCACGCTGTATAAGTTCACAAACAAGTCTCGATCTTACACGCATGTATATTTTTTCGGCGGTAGGTGTAGAAAATTATAGACGTGTCGCAGTTCTCTGATATATTATCGGGGCAGAGGACACTTAAGGAGATATTCACGAAGAAGATGTCTGATCTTGAAGCTCAGATACAAAGTGCTGGTCCTGCTAAAGACACTGTGGCCAAATCGGGAATTATTTTTTTCCATGTAGGGCATGCTTCGGAAACAAATCGGTGAATGCTCCAGACAGATTGACCCGAAAGAAACCAGACAGCGGCGTAAGTCACTAGTCGTCTTGGGTGTCGAGGAAACTGAGAAGGAAGACTGTAGGAGTGTCGCAATACAGGTCATAAACAGCAAATTGGGCCTGAGGGATATACCTGCTTCCTCCATTAAGGTCTGCCACCGACTTGGAGTATCGAATAAAGAGCGTCAGCGGCCTATACTTTTTAAGTTTTCCACCATGGATGACAGATCGAAAGTTTGGAAGGCTAAATCAAAACTCAAGGGTTCCTCTATAACTATAAAGGAGTTCCTGACAAAGAACAGGCAATCCATATTCGCCAAGGCCAGGCTACATTTCGGTGTCCCTGCGTGCTGGACTCAAGATGGTATTATAGTCATCAAAGTCCCTGGTGGAATCCGGCACAGGGTCACGACCATCGACGAGCTGAACCCGCTGCTGGTGAAATATCCGAGGGCGCAAACGACTTCCTCAAAATCCTCAAAGCCTGCAGGAGAAAGTAGGTCTGATAAATAAATTCAATTTAGCAGTGACATTTAGCATTCACTTAATAGTAATATTTACCATATAATTATACCACCTCATAATTATTCCTTGTATACAAGACCCTTAGCCCATTTCGTATACATATCTTTCAATTGTTTTTATTCGTGTAGTTTTCTAACCTTTATTTTATTATTGTTTTATCCATTTTTTGTTCATTTTGACTTGACGTTTTGGGTGTATCACTAAAGAGTATAGAGTAGCATAGATTAAATATTTAATCATTCACTCATTTCGGTCACTGCTGTTCGGATATGCTGCGCGTAATATAATATCTGATATTGAGGGTGAACTATAGTCTGTATTAACACCTATGTTTGAATTTCATTTTAAATTTTTGTTTTTCTGTTCTAACTTTTTCTGGTGATGGAAGCTGGCGGGTGGTGCAGAGATACAAGCGCTGTACCAGAACATCTGCACGCACATAATTAATCGATACATATATATATATATATATATATATATATATATATATATATATATATATATATATATCTATATATATATTTTCTTATTAGTATTACTTATACATATTTATAGTTCATTCGTACTTATGTCTTCAGATAGTGAATATTATGTTTCTGCCAATGAATCTGAAACCTCTTTTAGTGATGATAGCTTCTCTTCCGTAACAGAAACTCTCGGTGGTGTTTTACGCAACAAATTTAGTAGTAACACAAACAGCCAACTATTTAATGTGTGCCATCTAAATGCCCAAAATGTTCCTAGTCACTACGCTGATTTGTATGATGCATTTTGTGATGCTAATATTCATGCCGTCCTGATCTCCGAGACTTGGCTCAAACCGCATCTTCTCTCCACCTCTTACTCCCTGCCCGGCTTTATTCTTATCCGGAACGATCGGATCGGAAAGGGGGGAGGTGGCGTGGCTATTTACCTACGAAGTGACTTTTCCTATAGAATTATATCAGCTTCCTCTTCTCATTATAATGCTTCTGCTGAATTCCTATTCTTAGAGGTTTGTGTTAAAGACGCTAATGTTGTACTCGGTGTTGTCTATTGTCCCCCTTCTATTGACTATTTCACTGATTTCGAAACAGTTCTTGAATCTCTGGGTGCAGAG